TTTTTTTTTTTTCAAATCAACAGACTAAATAATGGACACAGATCTTTTACACTGGTTTTATAAGAATACAATTACTACGCATAGATGTAACGGTATAACTGCAACCATTGTGCTCGTTCAAAAAGCCGTTGAAAACTGACAATTGCGAAACTCGGAACTCTTATGCAATTCAATGTCAACCAATGGTACCGGCCCCAGGTGTCAGTTCCCGTTCTTCTGTTTTTCTAGGCTCAAACAAAAGCATACCAGATGCCGTACAACTTGGATCAACAATATTTAATTAACTGTTTGCGTTTATCAGTCTGAACTGAGTTTTCCTTAGGTGCAATCTTTTTTTTTCTTTCAAAACTTTTTTGAACATTGTCTATCTTATTGTATTTTTTTCTTCTCTTTTCTTACCAAAAAAAATTGTTTGTTTTTTCTTTTTTTTTGCTTTTAGAAGAAAGAAGTTCAAATTTATTAGTAGTTACAAACATTTTATTTATGAACTGTTTTGCTTGAGAACAGCTCTGATTTCCAATTAGTCGGTAGGGTCAGCAATGAAAAAAAAAAAAAAAAAACGAAAGACGATTTCTTGTTATTTCCAAAAAAAGAAAAATAGAAGAGAGAGGAAGAAAAAAAATATATATGGCTTCTGTGAAAGAATAGGTCTAAATCAAAAAAAGGAAAATAAGTTGCGAAGAAAAACAGAAAATACAGAAATGTTAGTTTTATTTGTAAAAATTTTTACTAAAACTAAAAAACAAAAATGTGGAAAAATCTACAGATATTTTCTTTATTTGGCTAATTTATTTGAGAACAGTGAGCTCAATGAATTTTTTTTTTTTCCCATTATCAAATGGCTCAACTGTATGACTGTCTTCAATCCAATTCTTGTCCTCCCCTCATTTTTGATTATTTTTTATTATTGTTTTTTCTTCCATTTTTTTTATTTCATATCATCTTTTTTTTTTTCTTTTGGATATTTTATTCGTACAGACTGCTCTTAGTCACTTTTTGCTGTCAATAAGAAATAATTTTGCGGTTTAAAACCAACAAAAATTGCTTCTAATAAACTGATAAAAAATTTGAAAAAATTCTATGATAAACTGTTATTTCTTATAGTGTAGTTTTAATTTTTATTTTTGGGTTTCTGCTTTTCTTCTTCCACTTTTTTGCTGGATTCGCGTATAGCATCCAGTTGCCATCTAAGAACTACATGAACTTACTGGAAACATCTGAAACGCTTTTTGCTTTTATTGCTTTATTTTTCAGTTTATAGCACTTTTTTTCAGCAATATTTCATTGATTATTTCAAAACTATTTTTGAACGTTATACTTTAGAATTTTTAAGTTTTTTATTAACTGTTATCGTCCACTTTCTTCGCCTTTTTTTTCTTTCTTCTTATGCAATGCCATGCAATAATCTCTTCAGACCGTTTATCTAAGCGGTAACACAGACAAAAAAATTTAAATTCATGTAAAAGAAATTATTTGCCAGAGAAAAATGTGATTGATGATGACAAAAAATTAACACTAAATAATTGAACAAATTTTCCTTGTTAAACGTCTTTAATTTTAATGAATGTAAAGGTAATTTAGAACGGCTATTAAATCGTCAGTAATAATTGTCTGTCTAAAAAACGTTTTTGTTTTTTTACAGAAGAAGTAAGATGATAAATTTCAAATTTTTTTAAAAGTTTGAACTTTGATCAAAAGTCAACAATTTCAACTTGAAAATTTTACACTTGCTTTACGTTTTCGCTTCACCTGTCAACTCTAAAGGTTCAGAGCTTACAACTACATTTCCTTAGTAATCTTTACTTAACTTTGTTTACTGTCTCTGCAGTATAATAGATCAGTGTCAGTTAGTCTTAGTTTTTTGAGGAACTTTCAAACAATTTTTTTAAAAATCGAAAATTAAACAATAAACAATATTGTAGTCTAAAAAAGCATTCATTTGTTTATCTAACCTTATTTATCTTCTTTGTATTTACAGTCAAACTTGCACATAGAAGTAAGCTAAAAGACCTATAAATGAAGCGTATGCTACAAATAAATTATGCATAATTTTGTTAAATTGTGTTGAATTACAGTAAACAGTAATCTTGTGAATCTTTTCTAACTTGAGACAAGGCTGAATATAATAAGACGGAGCATTAGGCGACCAAACCTGGTGTTTTCCTTTTCCAAACAAAGAGCAACAGATAGGATTCTCAATTAAGAATTTTGCATTTTTTTGCACAATTTCCCGATAAATTTTTAGTTTTCGATATCCTACTTACTGCCTTTTCATTTGCTACTTTTTCTTAGGTCGTTGTATATAACCACTTATCAGAAACATTTGTTACACGTTATTTTAATGGTTCATGAAACTGTTTCCAAAAACTAACACATTTCACGTTTTTCAAAAAAGTCTCATCGTAAACTTTATCTTAAAAACATTTTAAACTTCTTTTCTAACTGTAATTCTGTAAAAAAAAACGTTTTTTTTTTTATTATTTTGACAAATTTATAATTCAACATGCAAAAAAAGCTGATATTACTGATGAAAACAACTGATGACAACAGATCATGTTAAAAATTTAAAATTTGAGGTTTTTATTTCTGCTTTTTTTCCTGTTTGCCTAGTAATCATTAAAAAAAGAAATACATTGGATAAAGTCTGAAAAAAAAAAAACAAATAAATTAACGATCATCAGAAAAACTTGAATACACTCAGTTTGTTTGTTCAAATTTTGACCTACCTACAACAGTCAAAATGTTTGGTCAAAACATTAAAAAAAAAATAAAGTTCCGTTTTTAAACATTTTTACACTTGTCTATTTATACCGTGGATAAATGTCCACCAAAAGTGTGCATATTATGCGTTTTGTTGAAATTTTTGACTATTATTAGGTTGTGGTGGTGTGTAAGCATCTCATACAAACACCAGGTTGTCGAAAAAAGAATAAAAAAGTTATTGAACAGACGATATCTCACAACTTAAATAAAAATATTTACAATAATTTTTGGGCAGTTGTCGTTAAAAATTGTCATGAAGAGGACGTGTGGAGGGAAGAGGAGGAAGAATAAGCATAAGGTGCAAAGCTTAATCTAAAAAAAATTTTTTTTCGGTTGACATTGCCTTTCAGTATTTGGCTATCGTGTCTTTGTGAAGAAACGAATAAAACAATAATTAGCAATCAAAAAATTAAGAAGAAACAGAAAGAAAAAACGTTAAACCTAAAATTTCATTTGCTAGTAACCGTTACTGATGTGCAGTAAAACTACTTCAGCATTATGCTCTTAGACACTTTATAGTCTCTTTAAAATAAACATGAAAAGGTAATGAGAAACAAGCAAAGGAAAAAGGAACGATTGAGAATTGTTAACCGTTTATCGTTTGCATTATCCGATTGCTGTATTGTA